TGGAAACAAATGTAGAATTCTTTCTTGCAAAGAAGTCTATAGTGGATCTTGAGAAAAAACTTAATGTCTAGTAATTTGTGGTGATAGGCATTAACAAGCTTTCTCTATAAAAATAATGGAATGTTTTGCTGTTGATGTTAAAGTATACGTGTAATGTAGTTATTTCAGCTATATCGTTGAAACATCATGATGTAAAACTCAACTTATATTATTGATATTATTGGATATATGTATACCTTTGGTACGATTTTATTCAACTCCCATAAATAGTTTTGCCTCGTATGCCTACTTTTGCCTTCAATCAGAACTCAGTGATAGACAAAGATAACAACTCGTAATGTAATGTCATTATTAAATCATTTGCAGCTATTAAGTTTCGAGTCAGTAAAGTTAGTGTACAACTTGTGCAAGTTATAAGCAATGAAAATTATTACTACTTGTAAAAGATTTTTTTTCATCATTAACATGATCGTGATTTCTGAGATCCACGTGGGTGGCGTGTTTAACTCAAATAAATATTCTGAACGGTTTATTTTTTTATTTATCGATGCAGTAGATTAATTAATTGTTCGTACGTTGGAAGTTTAAAGCGTGGTTTCAAGTCTTATTCGATTTGTTACATACGTATACAACCTGCATAATAATATATGCTTAACAAATCTGTCAGGAGAAAATCACATCAGAAAAATATCACGATTTACGGTCTATGACTAAATGAAATAATAGAGATTGATTATTCCTTGATTGTGATAACAATAATACTGTTTATTTATATTATCGTTGTCATGAAATTTTCCCCATAATCCTGCTCATAGTCATATGCAATAAACATCATGTCGCACATATAGAATAAGTTGTAGAATAGAATAAAATACTTGTGGAAGTCTACTTTCAATTGAGAAATATGGTAAACCAAAAAATGTCGTTCGAAAAAATTGTTTCATCGAGAATGCCATTGACTTTTGCACCTTTTCATACTCATCTTACTTTTTCAGTGTATACCTATCTGATGATTTCACACAGATTTCCACGATATCTTATAATAAATATTATTATCAGTATCATTTCCATAAATATTAATATACAGATGAATATAAATCATGCATGCAAACAACACTGATATTCAAATAACAAATACCTGCTCACATTCCAGTGGCGTCATCAGGCGCCAGAAAAATAAAATCCGTTTTACTTATTGATGATGAGTTCTCGATGTGATAAATGATATCTACATGTATATAAATTTTTTCATGTTCATAATAAATCTGAGAATATTCCTTTTAAATAGATGTATAGTCTTTCCCAAGTCAATTAGACCAGCTCCGCGCGCTGTCGGATCGTTTGAAGTTTGTTTGAAGTCCGTGTTGTACGTGGTATTAGACATTTCTCGCTCGAAGCGCTCTAACTGACATTGAATAGATTATAATTTCCACAATTTTAACATTTGTCCAACACTGACTAAAATTTTCCAAGAACTATAAATTCTATATGTTTTATATTCTCTATATTTTAAAGCTGGTTAGTTTAGTTATCATTGACAGTTCGCCAGAAAGAACGTTGGTATGTAGAACCAAGATTTGAAATTTAAATCACAGTGATTAATCAGAAATAATTAGCTAATGTGTGAGATATACATATCGGTATAATTGAAAGATCAATTGACTTACCTGTTAAGGAAAATTGATCATAATTATATGAACATTTTCGTCGAAGAATTATAAAAATAACCACTTGTAGTCGTTCCTTTCGACTCTACTAGGTACGAAGTTCAAAGACAAATTTTCAACATCCACCCTGATACCTAACATTCCTGTGCCCAACCGATACCGCCTAGCAGCCGATAGTCATTTCTTGAAAGTATTGCTGGATCGTCAGGGAGGGATCGAATAGGGCGGGAATTTATAATTCTTCGACGAAAATGTTCATATAATTATGATCAATTTTCCTTAACAGGTAAGTCAATTGATCTTTCAATTATATTTCACATTTTCGTCTCGAATTATAAAAATAACCACTTGTAGTTGTTCAAAGAGATCAGACGATCCAGCCTATGAACGTCTGAGACCTGTGTCTCACAATCTATTGAAATACATATCAAGTATTTCATGTAAATATGCGAATTCACAAAATATGAAGTTATAGTGATTCGAAACAAAGTCTATAGAGACTATCAATAGGTCTGGTTGATAAAATATTGTAATTAACCATACCTAATACTCGCTTGCTTCAATATTCCGTAAAATAGGAAAACAATTTGAGGACAATAATATCAGTCTTTTAACCTCGACTTCTATATAACCCATAACTTGATCATCGTTAACTACTGAGCCAGAAAGAACTCGCAAGGCAAGTGATTGGGTTATATATCGAGTTATATGTCGTATCGTAATCGTATAGTAGTGGTGGCAAGACAAAGTTGAGGTTTCTCTTTCAAAAAAGGGCAATAATAACACTGGCTGATTTCTTGACCAGTCAGTAGTCTTGTCCACTCTATCATTTACATGTATAATTCCTCTCAGTTTCAAGTTACAGTTACAATTTTTGTAATCAAATCTGAAAAAATTTCTAGAGGATAAAGTCTCCAAAGGTTGATCAGTTATTTTGGTTGTGGAGGCCTTCTATTGCAACTCCCCTTGAAGAGGCTTTCGAGGAGCAGGCTATCGCTTTCGTTCAATCGAAGAATCAGAGATGAAGCCGACTTATATGAATTTATCAGCGAGAATGATATATCTTGTTTATACTGCTGATTTAAGAATTCTAAAATTTTATTGCGAACCGGTACATAAAGATTCTGCTTGTTATCTTGACAATATCTGTATCAAATACTCCTCTGCCACCAGGGCAGTTCTTTTTCACAAGGAATGAGTTGATCTGATCCCTCTTGCTCTCTTTCTGATTTTGATTGTTTTGCTCAACATATAAAGTATAATCGCAAATGGAGGAAACCTAGACGAAAAAGTGTTTTCTATTGTTGGTGAATATGCATCCACCTTCCAAGAATTAGGGTCTGTGGCTTCCATGACATAAACTTTCTACATTTTGTATTGACTGATGAATCGGTTGAGTATATTTCTGGAGAGCCTAGTTGTTTTAAAATAATATCAAAATATTTTCCTGACAATTCATATTCTGTTTCAATTGAAGTGCAGCGTGATTTGCTGACGGCCTCAGTATCTTGTTCCAAATTCATATATGAGGCAAATATCCAAATCTGTCTATCTTACTACCATTTGAGTAGTCCCCTAGCCAGTGAGAGATACGTCCGAAAAAATTCACAACATGGAAACTATTGTTTCCTATCGGCATTCTGTTTCTTGAAACAGATTCTGATCAACAATTGAAGTCGACTAATATTCTAGTGTAAATGTTCATGACATCGTAGCCTCATGGTTGAAGCGTCAGTATTTTATCTGGATTGCCGGTAGATGGGTTCGATTCCCACCACGACCGCAAAAAAATTTCTGATGGCCTAAGAGAGTGTTTGGGATCACACGTTGAAAGGTGAGACCCCCGTCCTTCCTTGCTCGTCCAAGTCTTTTGAAGACTTTTGAGGGTTGGTCGTAAAGAGGCAACGGAATTATGGATAAGAACTTCTTTTTTTTTTTTCTCGAACATTTTGTTGACTATAATCACCATTAGAATTATTGAAACAGGTATTCCAATATAATTTGCAAATTCCCTGATTTCACAAGTTTTGTTAATTTTCATTTTCTGTGTTAAATTTCTAATTTTGTCAATTCTTTCTCCAGGTAGTGATATTTTCATGTCAGTAGTATCGAATGAAAATCCAAGAAAAGTACACCTCAGGCAAGGAGTGAGATGGTACACATTAGTTAAAATTAATTTTGATCCCAAACCACTAACAATCTTATAACTGTCCTAGAATTTTTCTGACACTCCATATATACTCTCTCTTGCAATCACTACTATTACTAGTATGTCATCTAGATAAATTATACATGTGACAGGTAGCAACTTTTTTAAATTTTTTCAAGGCAGGATTCATCGACTCATCAGTAAACACATGTGGTGTTATAGGGCGATAGATTTATAGAATGTCAAAGTAAAGAGGCCAAAGAGGCCCATTGGGAATCAATTAATTGATAATTTTTGTTTTCAAATCTTAAACAGATATTTTCGATCTATCTCTCTAAAGATACAGAATATTAAGCATCTTTCAAGTCTACTTTTGTGAGATAACAATTATTATGTAGAAGCTTCGTAAAGTATATAATTGTATTAAGGTTTTTCCGGTCTAGTATAAACCAGTGAGTTATATTTGATTTCTTGGCGAGGAAATATGTGGAGAGAAAAGATTCTCCCATAAGGCCAATTATTGAAACTGTATCTATGCTCAGCAGCTTATTTATAGCCTTTCTCATCTCAGCCGAATTTCTTTCCTGTATGGAAGTTATTGGCCACGACTGTTGGTAAGGTTTCTTGGCAAAATTCGTTTGATAACCCTGCACCTAACTCAAAATGGGAGGATAATTGGTTGAAGCTTTACAATTTTTGATTTGTACAGTAATGGATCCTGTACTGCTGCTCACCTCTGTCGAAATTGTTCCTCTGTTTCGTTTAAAGCCTGAGATGTTGGCGGATATTGAAGTAAGAGGAAATAACGGCTTCTTGAGCAGATGTGCTCCTATATTCTTCATATCTCGATTGTATTTTACTCATGTAGGCGTACGCCCCGAACAGTAGTTCGTCAATAGGCCCCTTCACGCATACTTTTTGGTGGTGAAGTTGAGATGAGGAATGATCAAATACCTTCTATGTAACGATATGGAGTGGGAGGCATCATCAGCCAAAAGTTTAGTTTCTCAAAATTTCATTGGATTCGTTTGTATTGGCTGCGAATACAATTTATAATTGGGTCTAGCTACTGCAGAAAGACCTATTACTAGCTATTACTGTGAATTGATGAGGAACTCATTCAACAGACTTTTCTGGAAGAACGGATTGTATTTCATCAGGGTTGAGCCTCGCGGAATCATTACCTAACAATCTTTAATCGGAGGATACTTGGTAACCATTTCAGCTCTGGACTCTTGTCGATTCCTTCAGTGAGGGAAACCTTTCCACCCCCTGCAATTTCTTCGTGGATCTCCGGTCCAAAAAGAAGTCTCAGAATCAGGATTTTTTTCCCAGAGAAATAACTCTTCAGGAGGATGAGTTATGTTAATTCTCTATCTGAATCTTGCTGGGGATCCTCATCAGGAAGCTCGACTGGTCGATCCTCACTTTCGAAACAATTATATATGATGCGAGTGTGAGTTGCTCCAGCTACTGCCACTGGTCGTGGAGTCTAGTGTAGAAAAAAGAGGCAAAAAGTAATTAAGCTCTGTCTACAGTATATATACCTCATATATTGTGAATGTGAGGCTCGGATGAACGGAGGAGTGAGGATCCCCTCTCCCCCCCTTTTTTTTTAAAGTTTGACTCAATCAGGTATATATATATATATATAATATATACCGATAAGAAAAATTATAATTTTTTTCACCTGTCAACAATGACAAGATAAACCTGCCACGTAGTGACATTAACAGAAACAAGAAACCCACAAAAAACGGTTCATTAATCAGCTGTGCACATATTTAGCTCTTCTCAGGCCAGTCTTGGCCAAGTCTATAGTAGCGGCTCCTCGTATGAGTGCCTGTATTGTATATAATTATGTTAGCGATATCTACTTATAGCTACGCCATTGTAGCTAGAATGTGGTAAAGATGCTTAGTCAGGAAATGTCAGCAGTCTGAAGTCGAACAGCGTTGAATATTGAAAATACGAATAATAAAATAAAGACTTTGGAGTTAATTCAATTACATATTATTATTATTAGGAATGATTGCCTCTTGTAGTTTACATATTTTTCGTTCTATCCAGCGTATGCCGGATGTCTATAACAAAAAAAAAAACAAACCCTGCATTCAGTTGATAAACAAGGTCATAGTACCATAGCGGCGACTCGTATGAGTGCCTGTATAGTACCTTTTTCATTATATCCAGCGTGTGCCGAATGTCCATAATGAAAAAACCAAACCCTGCAGTCAGCTGATAAACAAGGCTATAGCACATTTGCTATAGTAGCGGCGCCTCGTATGAGTGCCTGTATAGTATACTTTTCATTCTATCCTGCGTTTGCCGGATGTCTATAACAAAAAAACCAAACCCTGCATTCAGTTGATAAACAAGGTCATAGTACCGTAGCGGCGCCTCGTATGAGTGCCTGTATAGTACATTTTTCATTTTATCCAGCGTGTGCCGAATGTCCATAATGAAAAAACCAAACCCTGCAGTCAGCTGATAAACAAGGCTATAGCACATTTGCTATAGTAGCGGCGCCTCGTATGAGTGCCTGTATAGTATATTTTTCATTCTATCCAGCGTGTGCCGGATGTCTATAAAGGAAAATCCAAATGCTGTCGAATTAAAACTGAACATTCCTATCATGCTTTGTGTGTCCACCATTCCTCAATTTCCAGCTATAATGTAATTAAGTAATGTGTAGGTACTTACTCGATAAACTTTACTAGGTAAATATTTCTTGACACTAATTTTCTTTCTCAATTTGGGTATCTTTCTATAATTTTTCGTTGATTTTCCACTTTTGCCCATGATAAGGTACACTTTTTATCACTTTACTAAAACTAAAACACTTCTAAATCAACACTTGTCTCTGAAACGTTCATACCCTAGCGGTACGAAAAGAACAATGACTATCGGCTGCTAGGCGGTATCGGTTGGGCACAGGAATGTTAGGTATCAGGGTGGATGTTGAAAATTTGTCTTTGAACTTCGTACCTAGTAGAGTCGAAAGGAACGACTACAAGTGGTTATTTTTATAATTCGAGACGAAAATGTGAAATATAATGAGGGATTAGGCTCAATGATACTTACAAAAGTCCCGAACAGCGCTGTATAATCTATTCTACGCAAAAAGATTTATGTTTTATCTCGTGTTTTATGTATGCCTAATACTTGAATCATTACTTCACATCAAGGATATATTCAGAAAACATAAAAGTTAATATAGAAAATCGTGACTAAAATATGTTCATTCATCATTCCATGACTGATAAAAATTCTGGACATTGACAAAAATAGTGTCAGATGTGACTCTTGTGCGTTTGCTGTGTAGCATAATAATGATATGCAGGGCCGTTTGTTCTTCTGTGAAATGTATAAATATTATACAGGCCGTATTTTGTATGTCGTTTCACTATTGGCATCTCGGAAATGGTAGGGAAAGGTGGGGAACACTTAAGCAAAATTTATTCGTATTTCGATATTCCGTATTGATCAATTGCTTCTTTTGATATATTGGAGCTATGACTAACTACATCAAAGCTGATTCAAATGGTGCATACAATGGTTCATTATTTCACAAGTTTGATAAGACACTATTTTGTTGGAAGTGCTCCAAAAAAACTAGTGTCTGTCAATCTTGATTTCGTGGGGAATCTTGTGTGAAAATAAAATGGACTATATTAAATAGTAGATAAGTGATGGAATAAATACATATAGGTACAGTTTGAAAGGTCAATATACTGGGTTCCTCCCAGATTTCTGAAGAGCCATTGTGCCAAAGTCAAATTCTGTCAAAACTACCCCTGAAAAACCACCATAACTTCATTTTTTCAAATTACACCCTATACATTTTTTGTTGATATGGGAAGTGCAATAATTTTTAACTTCAATGATGATAAAAACATGTAAAGTGTGCCACAGAAAACAAAATTGTTTGAAACTACAAAATTTTTGTAAATTCAACTAAATCTGAGTGTCATATATCCACGACAAAATATTTTGCCACCGCAACATTTTTTTTGTCAGTTTTCAACTTGAAATTCATTTGATTTAACTCATTAATGATTCAAATTGACAGCAGACAAAGACTATTTTGTTCCTATAATAGTTGAATCTTTGTCAAAATCAATTTAATTTTGTCGAATAGACAAAATGCATATGATTGATTGAACAATGCGATAATAGTTGGATCAACAAACTTTGTTTGATGTCAACTATAAATGTTCTTGAATTCAATGAAACTTTTGTTCAAGTAAGCAAATATTTCAATCGAATTATTTTGTCTCTTTGAATAAGTTGCTTATTTAGATTGAACATATATTTTGTTGATTTCGCATAATTGTGTTTAATTTAACAAAAAAAAAAAGACCAAAATTATTTTGTTGGTGCAACAAAACTTTTTTTTTCCGTGTAACTGAGATATTCACTGTATGCATGAAAAGATCTGGGACACTTGGTATACTCGAGAAACTTATGCTTGAAGAAAAAATCGCCGAGCTGACTAGGCGGAATCATGTCATTATCATGTCAAAAATCTCTCGAGATTATTAAAATTTTCGAACAAGAATGAATATGCAATCTCGCATTATTGTGTACGCCTGACATAACGGTTCATGAAAAGGAACAAATCATCTCCTCGATCCCAGATGATGAATTCCGAAAAATCTGTCTTTATAATTAAGGTGTACAAGGTTTTAGTTATATACCCAGACTGGAGATATTATCGTGGTAAGTCGATCGAACGATAATCGTTTTGCAACTCCCAACCATTACCGAGTGTTAATTGTCCTCTCAACATCCGCTCGCAATAAAGATAAACAAGATTTTTAAAATCATTTTTTATATGGAGTATCTTAACACACGGAGTGATCTAGGTTCTATCCACGAAATAAAACCATCAGAAGAATTGAGAAGGAATATTCTCAGATATAATTATTCAACTTAAAACTTACTACTTTCCTGGCTATATGCCACGACGAACATTGAATTACATCTATTGAACACACACGATTAGAATTTGAAAACGAAATCTTCTGAAGTATATAATTTGCATGCTCCTTTATATAAAGATATGCACAAAATATCATTCAATGTTCGACGTGGCAAATAGCCATCAGGAAAGTAGTTGTTTTCTGTTTAATATTCAGAATGATATTATATGCATATCTTTATAAGAAGGAGAATGCAAATTCTATACTTCAGACGATTTTGTTTTCAAATTCTTATCCTGTGTCTTCAATAGATGTAATTCAATGTTCGTCGTAGCATATAGTCAGGAAAGTAATTATTTTCTGTTGAATGAACCGAGAAAAAATTGATATTTTCATCACATCGAGAATGCGAATTATTCTCACGGTATTTCTTTATACAGGGTGTTTCATAGGTAAAGGGAAATATTTCAATGGTAGATAGGGGTCACCAAGGTGGTTCTGAAAATACCATATTTGATAGGTCTTAGAGTCTTCATAACGGAGATACAGGGCGATTTATCGATTTCGAATAATTATTCATTTGTCTATATGTATTGACCTACCCAGTATATTTTTTTCAAATTTGGTAAGGAGCTTATACTTGGGACGTTAAATTCATTCACATATCGGGCGGAGTGAAAATCCAGGTTCGTCTTCAGGAAAAATTTACATTTATTCGAAATATTAAAATAACACACTGTATTAAATAATTAACACAGTACATCAAAAGAATTGTGAAGAGGAGGAAAAACTGAATTGTGTATGATGCTTTTTGTTTTCCCGCCACCAAATCTCATCGTAACAATCATAAACAGAAAGTTGAAAGTATGTCAATTTGAAGAGTATTGGTATTATGAAACCAGTGTCAATTATGATTATTTGATATTTTAGTCAAAAAATCGCTCGAAAGAACTCACTAAGTCTCACAGTCTCAAACTACCCAGTAACATTTTCTCAAATTTGGTAGGTATGTAGCTTACTTGGGACGATGGATTCATTAACCTATCAGGCGGAATGGAAATAATACCAAATAATTATATTTCGATAATTCACCCTGTATCTCTGTTATGAAGACTATGAGACTTTTCCTGAAGCTGAACCTGTATTTCCATTCTGCCTGATAGGTCAATGAATCCTTCGTCCCAAATAAGCTCAATACCAAATTTGAGAAAATATTACTGCGATGGGTAGTCTAATACTTATGGACGAGTGAAATAATTATTCGAAACCGATAATTCACCCTGTATCTTTGTTATAAAGACTGTGAGACTTAGTAAGTTCTTTCGAACGATCATTCAACAAGAATATATCGAATAATCATAATTGAAAGTTGTTTCATAATTTCAATACTCTTCAAATTGACATACTTTCAGCTTTCTGT